TGAGGCCTCAAAACTACCTTATACTCAAAAGTCCCACGCCCGCCCGTAAAGACACACATTGAAGCAGCCAACCCTACCAGGCAAAAAAAAAGCGCGCTAACCTCATAGAATCCCCCAAAACTGAAAACCCCCGCTATTTGTGTACTTGGACGTTTTGGGAGTGTGGCATGGGTGGAATTTAGGCGGTTTATGGTGTCTGGCCGTGGGGTTCTAGGCATGGTTTTCATATGGAAGCCGTACTAAACATTGATATTATATCTTAGGTTTCCTAGCCATAGAGTCATACAGCCCTAAACTTTAGACCCGAAACCCTAATAAGATACCATGCCCAAGAACCCGACTCTAATTATTGAAGCCCTTGTAAGAGTGTCTGGGACCTCACCAAGCATCTAAACCCTCAACCCTCCTTTGAAACTGACAGCTGGCAGCGCCCAAGAGTCCACAAACCCTACCTTGACTAATATAGGGGCCTTAATAATTAGAATAGGGTTTTGGGGCCCATCCTGCTATAGTTATAATAAGGCCCCCACCCCCAAAACATAGTATGTGTAATCATTTAGGGCCCCTACATTAGCCCACGTCTTTTTCTTGCAAGCAGGGACACACGCCAATGTATACATGTTGCGTCGGGATTGTTCACTTTTGTGGCTTTTGTCAACTCCCTGAACCTGGGATTCACATCCCAAGCATTTGGGGTTTAGGGTTTAGGGTGATAAGTTGGAACATAGCTTATCTTTACAAACGCTGGGATCCCCCTGGCGCCACTTTGGCGGAACCTTTAAAGGAACCCTGACGGGCCATAGGACAAGTCTCGTCCAGAATTTTGGGTTCCTTTAAGGGTTTAGGGTTTACGGTTTAGGGTTTAGGGGTTTAGGGGTTTAGGGTTTAGGGGTTTAGGGTTTGGAGTTTAGGGGTTAGGGTTCCACCGAATGGTTGTGAAGGCATGGTGCGAAAGGGTTTTTCTACAAGGGGTAGAGACCGAGGTCCAAAACAGCATCCGGAGCAAACCCTAAAACCTAACCCTAAACCCGTAAACCGTAAACCCTAAACCCTAAACCCGTAAACCCTAAAACCCTAAACCCCGAAGCCCTAAACCCTAAACCCTAAACGCTGAGTCGGACCTAGAGCAGTAGTAGTTGGGCACTTGGACTCTCAGTTTGGGTTTCATCGCGTTGGTTTTTGAGGGTCGTCTCCGGGGTGTCGGGTTGAGACCTACCTTAAGAACCCAAAACCCACTTTTTTGTAGGTTCTTATATATAAGCCCTAATATGGGATTTATAGGGGCGCTACAAAAAAAGTAGGTTTGGGGTTCTTAAGGTATGTTAGATATGTTAGTTTAGGGCAGGGTTTGAGGTCTTGGGTACATGTGTTTCGCTTTTGGCCTTTTTCCTGGAGCTACATCATCAACAAGGCTGTTCTTCAACTACGTTTTTCAACAAGAGTGTTACTATGTACGGGAACGTGCAAAGATGTGAACAACAGCTTAGCAACCCTAAACCCTAAACCCTAAACCGCTTAGTTTCCCCATCCTGGTCCATCTTCTGTTCGGGGTCGTTCGACTCTTGCGCGGAAACGTCTACCTATCGTCTCCACTGGGTCACCTTCTAGGATTGTAGATATAGAGTTTAGGGGTTTAGGGTTTAGGGTTGGTTAAAACTTTAAAAAGGCAAAGGAACTACAATGGAGACTATAGGTACATTAGGCATGACTACTTGTTTTCGGCAACAGTTCTGCGAACTTCGGTCTACTTGGCTCTGCACTTGCTGAGTTTAGGAGGTGTTGTGATCCATCTGCCCCGCTCGTAGCCATCATGATACGCGTGTCGATGCTGTCAGGTGAGGAGTTGACTGAAGTGAGCATGGGGGATATCGCTGGTATGACGACAGTGCGAAGTTTGAAGACCCACTTGCGGACTCGTCACGACGTCCCATTATGCATACAGCAGCTTGTGGACAAAGAGACCGGCTGTATCTTGGATGATGCGATGACGTTGAAGCCCCCCTGTGACCTGCAGCTGGTTATGCTGAAAGCCGAGGGTGTAGCGCAGCAGAGGCTTGCAGACGAACTCATGGGTGCATCTTCCGGCGGCAAGGTCGAGGCTGTGCGGTTTCTATATCGAGCCGGAGCTCATATGGACTTGAGAAGCAGGTTCGGAGACACTGCTCTCACCTGTGCATCTTTGTACGGCCACATCGAGGTTGTGCGGTTGCTGATAGGGTTTGGTGCCATGGTGGATCTGCCACACAGCTACAGAAACAGCAACCGCTCCGGAAAGACACCTCTGATGTTTGCATCTGAGAATGGTCGTGCCGAGATTGTGCGGTGCTTGGTGGAAGCAAGGGCGTCCCTGAACACATCCCACGGCAAAACAGCTCTCGTAGATGCATGCAAATTGGGCCACGTTGGGGTCGTGCGAGTTCTGGTTGAAGCAGAAGCTGACACTAACATAGTCGTTCTTGACACAACACCGTTGATGTGTGCATCTATTCGCGGTCACACCGAGGTGGTGCAGTGCCTCGTGGATGCCAGGGCTCAATTGGACTGGGTCAATGGGAAGGGCAGCACAGCTCTCACGCGTGCATCCGCTTTGGGCCGCATTGAGGTTGCGCACTTGCTAATGGAAGCCAGTGCCAAGTCTTGGGTCGGGGTTCTCGGAAACTTTGGCTGGTTTAGGTGCATTCTTTGGCCCATGTTCCTGCCGAAGATCTCACCGATCTTATTGCCGATTGTTCTCTCGGTGACTTCTCCTCTCGCGAGAGTCTGCGCAAGCAGCCCGCACAGAGCTTGCACAGAACGTGAGCAGCATCTCTGCCAGCAGCGGGCCAATGTGAGGCCAATATAGGGGCTACAGAAGGGGGAACCATTCCTTCAGGTTATACTTGTGCAAAGTTTAGGGTTTAGGGTGCTACTCCATACCACAGACCCTCTTCAAATTATTCAGGCCCCTATACTACTCGGTTCTGTGCTGCTCATGGAAGCTGTTGCTCCCTGCACCGGAAAGAGAGATGCAGTCCTCAATGCACGTAGGGGGCTGAACAGTTATTTCCTTTAAATTACACCGTAGTATGCCCCGAAACCTTATTCCAGTTATGATAGCCCCTATACAACAAAAGGAAGCTGTCGGCTTGAACATGATCGGCTTGCTCCTGCGGATTTGGGTTCCCATAGTAAGTCCCCAAGTCCCCAGAACCCTAACTCCTAAACCCTAAAAACCTTGAACCAAGTCCCCAAGAACCGCAATCCTAAACCCTGATCCTTGAACCAAGTCCCCAACACCCAAATCCTAAACCCTGAACCCTAAACGCACAAAGTTCTCCCCCAGACTTCCCCTTGGTGCGATTTTCCGAATTTTTGCCGAACCCACAAAGCCGTAAGTGCCTAGATCCTAGAAAGTAGGGTTCCTATGTCAGGAATTTCGATGATGTCTTGGATAAGTAACCCCCCCGCATGAATATAGGGCTTCCTAAAGTAGGAATTTCTATGATGTTTTGGGTAAGTATCCCCCCATATTTAATAATATAGGTTCTTAGGACATCTTAGAACCGTTTGGGTAAGCCCATGCACCTGATCCTTCGGGTACCTTGGACCCTTAACTGTGACGTACAATGAGTCTGCAGGTCGAGGAGGATTTAGGGTGGTGGGGCTTATAAGGCTTTAGGGCTTTGGGCTTGGGGTTTGGGGGTTAGGGCTTAGGGCTTAGGGCTTAGGGCTTAGGGCTTTGGGTTTCGGGTCTAGGGCTTAGGGTTTAGGGCTTTGGGTTTAGGGTTTAGGGTACAACGGCTGCGACGGATCTTGAGTTCGGTCGGATCGGAAACGGTGGTTCTTTGAGTGGTGGGCGGCGCGGGGGATTATAATCGTTGGGTTGGCGGTGTTTTGGATTGACCAACACTTCCCAGACCTTCCAATATCCCCTAGTTTAAGGCTTGAGGCACATAAACAGAAGTTATAGCAGGATCCCCAATTTGATGTAGGGTATCTTGATTAACTAATGGGTTTGGGAAGGTCTGGGAAGCCTATCAAACCCTTCCCAGATACTCTAAGCCCTAAACCCTAAACCCTCTAAATCCTGTGAACCCTAAACCCTCCGAGCCCTAAGCCCTAAGCCGGGATATGAGACGCCCAGATTCACAAAGCCTGAAAACCGTATTTGCTTGACCCCACCCCAATATCCTTCTTCACATTAATATGATCAGTAAAATTTGAATTCATGTTAAGATTTACAGTGCATAAATAATGAAATAATGTTGAGGTTAATATGGACATATATCGACAGATATTATTCATATGATTCTTGATATGTGCGCGAATATCAATGATAACAGTATGAGCAACAATAAGAATAATGAATACTAACAATCTAGTATCACATCTCACAGAATCGTCACCTGCCGAGCGAATCCCCACACCTACGATCGCGTAGATAGGCCACTGGTGCACGTGGCTTGCAACCCGTGTAGAGCCCTCAAAACCCCATTAAAACACCCCTTGAACCTCTGGAGCAATCGTGTAGAAACCTTCAAGGAACCCTGTGTGAAATGACTTTAGCCAGCCTTTTTAGCCCTGATAAGCATAACAGAGCCAGCAAGGGAACCCTTACACAAAAACTTGCAAACCCTAAACCCTAAACCCTAAACCCTAAACCCTAAACCCTAAACCCTAAACCCTAAACCCTAAACCCTTACACAAAAACTTGCAAACCCTTCTAAAACCCTTCTGAACTTCTCGGAAGCCCCAGGGCCGTAAGCCCTAAACCTATAACCCCTAAACCCCGAAGCCCTAAACCTTAACTTACCCTAAGGGTCCATGTACTCAAATAGGATATACTTTGGCCTTAATGTAGTCCCGATATAGGTACTTTAGGGCCAATGTATATACTATTTGGGTACATGGACCCTTAGGGTTAAGAAGCCCCCCAACCCCCAAAACCATCCGAAATCCCTAAACCGCCATCACGACTAAACCCGTATAACGCACCCCTCCATAACCAGAAGAAACCCTCAACCCCTAAACCCTATGAGCCGCAGAACCCTGAACCGTATTACCCCTAAAGCCTATGAACACTAAACCCTGAAGCCGAAAAAGAAACTCTAAATCCCATAAACCCCTAAAGCCCTCAAAGCCCTGAAAGCCCTATAAATAAACACCTAGGACCCCGAAAGCCCGATAAATACGCCCGCCCCAAAAGCCCCGAAAGCCTCCAAAGCCCGATATTCCCCTAACCCTAAGCCCTTAGTCCTATTCCCTAAACCCAAAGCCCTAAACCCAAAGCCCTGAACCCTAAGCCCTGAACCCTAAACTTTATAAACCCTAAACCCTAAACCCCTCAGCCCTGTATTCCTGAGCCGCGCTCCTCCAGGTCGGGTCCTGCAGTCCGGGACGAGGCTGAGGTCGGCGATGTAAGCGGTTGTTGGCTTTAAGGGTTGGGGGCTTTAGGGGTTTGGGTTTAGGGTTTAGGGGTTGAGGGTATAGAACATGAGGGTTTTAGGGGTTTAGGGGTTTAGGGTTTAGGGCTTTAGGGCTCTAGGGGTTTGGGGTTTAGGGCTTTAGGGGTTGAGGGTTTTGGAGCTTTAGGGCTCTAGGGGTTTAGGGGTTTAGGGGTTTAGGGTTAAGGGGTTTAGGGTTCAAAGGTTTAGGGTTTAGGGGTTTAGGGGAGTAGTGGGTTAGGGCTTTAGAGGTTTAGGGTTTAGGGGTTTAGGGGTGTAGGGGTTTAGGGGTTTTAGGGGTTTAGGGGGTTTAGGGGGTTTAGGGTTTAAGGGGCAGGAAGCCCCAAAAACCTCAAGAACCCCA